TTTTTATTTTTCCCCATATGTATGTTCGTGAAGATCTCTAAGCGTTTTTCACGCCACTCCACTCACCCCCTTGTTTTCTTTCCCTGTTATTATTATTATTATTATTTTTTGTTTTCAGGGATGAGTTGTCCCCCCGGAAGGCGCATAAAGGGATTATTATTTTTGTTGATATCTTTGAGATTTTTTTTCAGTGGAAAATTTGATTATGGTTTTTGATGAGGTAGCAGTGGTAGGTGGGGTGGGCACTTGCGTTTTAATAAAGACACAGACGATTTACTTCCGTGGATATTGGTTCTCGCATTTTCACTATAGGATTTAAACCAGTGGTGTATTCTTCCCCCCAGGGGCCACAGTGTCTCTTCTGGTAGTACGCAATTTCCAAAATAAACGAGCCAGCACCGGGCCTGGGCTCTCTGCAAATAATCATCGCGCGTGCTTTTAATTAAGTTCCACTGTGTGAAAGCCTCGGCTCTAGTAACGTGGAAGAATGGAGATGGATAAACTTGTCAAGAATTTTTGGGAGAACTTTTGGAGAAATTCAAATCATGAGACTTAAATCACAAGATTCAGAGATTCCAATGAAAATTGTTATGTTACTCTCGATAAAGTATCTATTGTAATTATGACAATTGAAATTAATTTCTGAGAAGTGGATCTGAGAAATCAGGAATAAAAAAATTATTCCAAGTGATTGCTCTACTCCAAGTAAATTTCAATTCTTTGCAATTTACATTGTCATGAGGTCATGTTACAAGTCCTCGGAGAGGATGGGGTAACAGTATGCTATTTTATTAAATGAACTCTGAAAAAAAAATTCCCACGGTCTATTATTGTCGTGCGCTTGTTAAAACATTCGGAAGAATGACAAAAGTATAATCCAGTGGCAGCTCCACCTGAACTAACTGAGACAGGAAAAGAGGATAGTGACGAAGAGACATTCGTGTTGTGGTCGAGTAAACATTATCAGGCACTGGCCACATGAAATGCCCTCTCCCTTTCATGCAAAAGGGCAGCTCATCAGCTGTGAGAGGAGGGGTAAAATGGAGGTGTAGGGGAACAAGTAGGGGAAGACCACCTGAAACAACTCATGTGTCTTCACGATTTTACAATAACTATTTCCCAACCTTCAGACCTTTTTTTTTCTCTCACCAATAAATCGATAAATCCAATACTTAGTTGAATATTTTTTAAATGAACTACTAATTCTATAAATAATCCTCGTCAAACCTTGGCTTATCCCCTCGTATAAAGACATACACAACAATTGTAACACGAGAATCAACGTGTGCGTGACGTATTGGCCATTAGTGTTGAACTACTGAATCGATTTCCACTGAAAATGACACACGAATGCCAAAGAGTCGTGACGGTTGCACGCATTCACCGACGATAAATTATCTCAACCGTTAATTGTTGCATATTGATCACGTAAAATTTAATAAATTTTATCAATTGATTCTGACTATCAACAACGGGAGATGCATGCATTATCACTCTTCCACTCGACTCTTAATCATTTAAAGATTCGAGCTCAAAAATTTCAACTTCTTCAAATTTTTTACTAATAGATCATAAATTTTGTGCTGTGAAGACAAAAAAAATTGTGAAAAAGATAGGATTGCTGAAAAAACTCAACCATTGTTCTGCCAACTTGCAAATTCATCCCTCGGACAGGAAAATAAAGTCTCTGTTACTGTCACAAGACCACAAATTTATCGTTACCAATAATTGTATCACTAAACACTAAAATTGAGCTCTTGAACGTCTCCTTTGGAGTATCACTCAACGGCACGAAGTTGGCGTGTGAATAATGAAGGGTAATCGTCCTTATGCCCTTCCTAACATAAACCTCACTTCTGTCCTTATTTCACTATAACCCTCAAGACTTGAAGAACACAACGCGGAGGGTTGGGATTTCTAGATTGGATTTAAGTACACAGCCGTGTGGTTTCGAACGGTTAATAATGCAGATAAAATCTTGCGTTAGCTTCCGTCGAATGAGAGACGTTGAACTATAACTACTAAAGATTTCCTAAGGTTTGTAAGCAACCCTTTAGAACCTAGATTCATCTCCGAACCGATCGAAATTTACCCGTCAATTTTATGGGAAAATTACTGTTTCGTTCAGATGTTAGAAGGCGAAATTTATCCTGATATAAAGACGAGAAAGGAAATATATCTCGAAATATCGCGCATGACCGTAAGGGACCCGTAGGACGAAACTAGGCTGCTACCATGACGACAGCAAATTTTTTGAAAATTCAAAAAAATGCGGAAATTTGGGAATCATTGCCGACACCAACGGAGATTGCAATTGATTGAACAAATTTTGCCTGGGAGGCGGGGGCGGCGTAATCAGAAAAATTCCAAAAAACTCAAAAATTTAGAAAATCGTGAAATTTCGGGAATCATTGCGAGAATTGATGGAGTGTGCAAATTATTGAACAAATTTTACCTGGGATAAAAAGGAGAAAGGAAATCGATCTCGAAATATTTTGAAATTTAGACATGTCAAATGACTCGTTTAAAAGGAAAAACCGCGAATTTGGGGTTTCGCAAAATTTTCGTTATCTGTCCTTATTATCACACGATACTTGTTAATATGTTTTTATGTGAAAATGCAAGTGAAATCAAACATATAATTTACGTATAGATTAGAATTGCTAAATGACTAATTAAAGAAAAACCGGAATAATTTATTCCATTCATTATTTATGGATATAAAACTGATATTGACATAATTCCAAAAAATCTAGCATTAATTTCCGCATCGTTTATGCTTCGAAATTATTTAAAAAAAACAGAAAATCTAAAGTGAATATCACCGAAATTTCCACTCCATGTAAATATAGGGTTCAGTGCTAATGAACTTCGCCGATTAACAATGGATATTTGTCACCTTGATTAGATGGAAAGAAATAGTTTGAACAGCGTATTATTTCAAAGGTCTTTGAACCATCCAAAAATCATTAACCTGCGCAGAATAGGCACTAGAGCTTATTGACACAACTGCCGACCAATCCAAGTTATTAATTGATTTTGATAGCAATTAAATATGAAACACACTTGGTATGCCTGATATTGCGAAAGATCATGAAAACATATTTACCACTCGCTTCTCATTACCCCGTCACCCCCTTCACCAATCAAAGATCAATACCGTTTCTTTTATTTCTTCCCCAGCTGTGTTTTACACTTGAGAAATAAAATTACTAGAATTCTTTCAATTACGTAAAATTCTCCCGCCATCGATATTCATAGCCAAGCGTATTTTCACGAGGAGGGGGATGGAGAAGGGGTAAGGAGGGTGGAATTGAGAATTTCTCCAGAAGTGGCTGAACGAGTAAAGTAGAATAAAAGGTGAGGGCTCGGGTAACAAAGGGGATGGGATGAGGAATGATAAAGAATGAGAAAAAAGGGAAGGCCAGTGGCGTTGATTGGAAAGGACAGCCTATCCGCAATTTGCTATTCGAAGGGTTGCCACTGTCGGTATAAACCACCCCCTCTCAATTTCTTCTCCACACCCTCTCTCAGACATCTACTGATCACGAGGTGAGAATTCGTTAGTCTTTTCAACGGAGGAACTTTGTTCACAGCTGTCTGTTACATTTCAGTTCTATATTGAATTCCACAGAAATATGGAGAATTTAATTGACAAAAATTTCGGGGACCAGCAGTTAGCTGAGATAAGCCATTCCATATTAATTCGTGGCATTCTAAACCTCGTGCTCTTGGATTTCTCTGGAAATGGATGATTTTTTTATGGAATTGAGTTACTCTCAATGCCGTTTTTTTTTTTTTTATGAGAAATGGAGTGAGTGCTACTGTCAATTTTGATGCTCTACGATTTTTTTCAACTATTTTGGTATTTCACGGGTGTAATCTGGGGTTTTATGGGTTACGCTACTATCGTGTCGAAAAGTGGTTTCTCACGTCACTCGAGTTACGTTATACCAAAGTCAAGGATCTCCAACCACTCTACTCTCAAGAGCTGGAGGGGGCCCGGCCCTCGTCTTCTACTCGAGCAACCGGCAACGTTTGAATCCCCTAAATTATAAACAGTGTCGGAGTAACGCCGCGGGACTTCGATCTCGTGGTACACTTGGGGGTTTTACAGTCTCTCACTCTCCCTCCCGTCTTAACTGAAGGAAACTTGTAGAGGAAACATGGTAAAGGAATACCGAGAGAGCCTTGTCGAGTCAAGTTTGACTGACCCCGGGGACAAATTCACAAGACCATTTCCGGTCAAGTTTGACCAACTTTTCAATTTTTTCCGATTATGATAAACCAAAATAATTTTTCTCCTCCAAAGAAATTTATCCAATTAAGCGATTTGATTGCACAGACGATTTTGGAGATGAAAGAATTTTGGAATTGTTTTTTGAAGTGAATTTTGAGTTGAGTGATATTAATTAATGATTTCCTTGAATTTTCGTCGATAAATCGATAAAAATTCAAAGTTTCTGTTCAATAATCCAAGAGAAGCATTAAACATTTGTGAGTCATTTTTGTGAAAGCCTTGAAAGGTGAAAAACTCCTTTATTCCCGGTATTTGCACACATATGAGACACTGCCATCTCCCAAGTACCCCTTACCTAACTGGATTCCGTGAAAAGACCGCTTTAAGGGCCATAAAACATTTGTTTCCCTCTCTTGCGCATCAGAACGCCCTCTCAACTTAGCAACAAAAAAAACTGGCACATAGCCGCAAGCCGACCCACACGTGACGCAGGATTTTGAATTGAATTTGAAATGTGGAAAAGAGAGAACCGAGTGTGTTACAACGAGGCATGAGGTCGATTTTATGGCGTACGGTGTCAAATACCCGGGGTAAATGCGTTTGCCCGTTATCGCCCCTCTTATCCGGAGGCCAACCCCCTGTTTAGATTTTCACAATATTTTTCTTCCCACCGCATAAATGGTGGAAAATTGAGGGATACATTTTTATTGGGCATTTTTAGTTTTTGCTTTGGTCTTTGATGGAGGATTTTAACATGTACCTGATCGTTGTCTTGTTGATCTTGGCTGTAGACTGGACCATCACCATTCGGGGTTGTTGAAGCCGAGGGTCTTTGAGACGTTGACAAGTTGATCGCTCCGTCTCCGTCCGTGTCATGATCCATTATGCCATCGTCCTGCAAAAAAAAAACACAATTTTTTATTCCTTTAACCGGTGATCAACGTCAAATTTCAATGTCGTTGGGTATCCAGAGAAATATTCGATAAAAATTAAGTTCCTCTGTGCAAAAAATTAAGAGTGAATTATTGATGGGAGAGACTGTACGGAACTGTTCCGTCATTTTTATCAGAATTGTCTGTAAAAAATTATGCCGTTACCAAAATTTCGGCTCCGAAATGGATGATAAATGGTAAACATCTACAAGGACATGTAGATATTTAAATTTTCAACCGATTCAGCTAACAATTGAAATATGCTGCGAAAAAACCAAGAATAGACTGTTTGTGAGTGGAAAAATTTATTTACGTAGGGAAGAGTGGGGCGAAGTGAAACAGCTGTTCAATCGTTTCATTAGGCTGTAAAAAATAATGAAAGGTAGTCTTACATCTTGTATTTATATTCTTCAATTCTCAATGGCTTTATTTTTCAAACGTCTATTATTGAAAAAAAATCCAACGGTATAGGAATAATTATGTGGCAAGTGAAAATTGACTAGTTTTAATTTGAAAGGCTTTTCATTTTAAGAACACGATGACAAGTTGCAGGTGATGTTTTTGACATGCCAGACAAATGTCAAAGTGAATGAAACAGAAGAGAGACATTTTGCATCGTCAAGTTTTGACCGACACATAAAAAAATTTTTCTAACATGCCGGAAGTCACGTGGAGTTTTTCTCCTTAATTCGGAAGGATTTGATTTAAAATCCATTAGGTTTACGTCACAGTGTCAGTCAATCATAAAGTCAATATTTATATTTTTCAATAATGTATTTTGTTAAAAAAATAAGATGGCAACAGCTGGCGGAATTCCCGATACAAAATTCATCTCGAAATTGCCCGATAAAATGCCTCCAGCGAAGATAATTACTCAATTACCAAAAAAGTAAAATTCGACTCATCACGTTTTACCACTTAATTACAAAATTCCAACCTGATAATTGATAAATTCACGAGAAAGCATGACATAAAAAATGAGGTCAATCCCATCATCAAACACTTGTTCAGCAAATTATCTAAATTAAACACACATCATAAAAATTGAATATTCCCCCAAAAAAAGTATAATCTTACATAATTTTCCACAGAATTCCATTCGGCGCCTGAAGATTTCACCGATATAAATCCGTACCCATCGGTGCTCAAATAATCCACAGTCAATTGCACAATTCACTGAATCAAGCATCCAACACTCACAAAAAAAAAACATTAAAAACTCAAATCATTGCCCGGGCCACTAGTAATTTCAAATAAAAAAAAAATGATCACACCCGGAAAATTCACGTGCGGCTGAGCGTCGGGAAAAAAACTCGCGGTAGTGGGGGAGGGGGGAGGGTGCGTGTAAAAAAAAAACTGCATGGAGTGCGCTGAGTCTTGACGGCCAGAAAAGGTACGAAATGTTCATTCACGAATGAATAAAAGAGGTGAAAAAAAAAACAACGAAAAGGTGTGAAAGTCGAAAAGAAAAAGAAAATTCAAAGGAAATAACGTTGAGACGCGTATATGCGGTTAAACGTGAATGTGCCGAGTATAGAGCGAGGACTAAACACTAAAAGCGGGTGATGCCAGTCGCGTACACCGAGTCGACCGAAGCCCGCCGCCGGGGCTGTTGCTTATTGTGTAAATATAAACAAATATAGTTGAAACCAACCAACAGGCCTGCTTTTAGTTCTCCCCCTTCTCTCCTCAATCGTCGTGTTTCTTTCTCCCCACCCCCCCCCGTAGCCCCCCCTACTTCTCCTAACCCCCTCTCACCACCCCCTTCTCTCCACGGCGGCACATATGAGTGCACACTCCCCTCTCCACAAATATTCAATCCTCTGCCCCTCTACTCATTCCACATACAGTATAGAAACTCAACCAACAGAACAGAATAAAATACATTAGTTTGTCTTTCTCCTTTCGTCTCGCTTTTAACAGTGAGTTTACTAAAATGACACCACGTGGTTGTTCTGTCTCAGTTGGTTACGTTGTCGTGACCCTTTTCCAATAGTCGGGTTCTGGTTGACGTATACCCTGGTACACCCCTTGGACGGAAAGATTCTACTAAAATTATTTATTTTTTTTAAGCGAAATTCCGGTGGGAAATCGTTGAGGAAAAATTGAAGGCATTTTTTTGGAGGGAAATTGAAAGTCCGAGACAATTTTCGGAGTCGGTTCTGTCATTTTTCCCTTTTTTTTTGTCAGATTTGCTCGGTGTGGGGTAATGGGGAGTTATTCATTTTTTGGAAGGGGTGGGAGTTGGATTTTTTTTATTGAGATCGACTGATTTATTCTGGTGGTGTAATTTTTCAAGTGGATTCTTCGAAATATTTTGGAGTAGAAGGTATTTTGTGATAGCGGTGTTTACTGGGAATTTCTCGAGTTTTCGAGTAGAACAGGTCGCGTACTGATAAGATGAGTCATCCTCGAGACATTAGACGAAATGTTTACGATGGATTGAATTAAAGTAAAGTGTCAAGTTTAGGGTGATTGTAACTTTGAAGGAATTTCAAAAAGAATCTAGTTTCTTTTCCTCTGATAAATTTTGAGTTATAATCCCGTACAGATGTTTACTCGTAAACACTTTCGGAGAAGATTAGTTCAGGCCATATGCTCTCCATTCCTTGAGCTCGGGTGGCTGTCCCTCAAAAGAAATAAAACTCAAAGGAAGAAAGAAAAATAAAAAAGCGAAATTGAAACGGTGAATAAGGGGAGAGAGGTTTTCGGTTTATCGGTGGGACGGAAGTGAGCATTTTTTTTTTCCTCAAGTCTGTCTCTCTTTCTAGGAGAAAAATGAAGAGTGCGAGTGAAAAGGCTCAATGAATATTCGGCAGCATGATGCTATTTATAATAAATACCGGGCTCTCAATAGTATATACTATATTCTTTTTTCTCCACTTGCATTCTTGTGGAGTCGTTCAGATCTGCTTTTCAACCCCTTTTTTTTTGCACGAGAAAATGAGCGCAAGAATATTGGACGGTTGTTGTGGAAGGTACGGACTCTTTATTCGCACGAGTTGGAAGTACATAGGAAAAGGCTTCGACGCCAAATCCCCATGGGCTTTGCACGTCCATTGTCGGGCCGAAGGCGAAACGAGAGACGAGGAGATGGAGAAAGGGAGAAAGTTGGGGTGAGAGACTTAGGAACCTTGTTACCAATCTCCCTTCCATTATTATTTCTCTCTCTTTGTCTCGTTTGAAATTTTTTTCTCTCCTTCCACTCGAGTCCTATGACAACAGAACAGAAACAGCCGGCATTCAAACTTGGAATATGTATTTATTTAATAAACAACGGATTCACCCTAGGCACTTCCTGTTTACCGCGGGAATACCCACTGAAATTTCATCTGCATTTGTTTCGTGATTTATTTCATTTTCGCCTTTTTGGCGCCGCCATTTCGATGTTTGGACGAAAATGGTGGGTTAAATTCATATTGCCAAATGTGTAATGAAGCTGATTAAATATTGATCCAGTTCGTCAGTGATACCTTTTTTTTATAATTCTCCTTTTTGAAGTGAAAAAAAACATTGGAAAATCAATGACATATTTTAAAAATCAAGTGATCCATTATAATTCCTGAAATCCTCAGATAATCTTCCCAGTAAAATCTCCCAATGATTTTACCTGAAATACTTAATTAACACCGAAATTAATAATTAATTCCTCACCCGTGGTAAAAAAATTCTAAAATACTTAGAAAATATTCGGCTTCAGGGGCTACAGGGGATGATATAATATTTATTTTACAAGGTATAATAGAGAATGGGCTGTTTACCCAGAAATAAAAAAAATTCATTAACTCCAGTTAATTTACTGAGTGCAGACAGGCAAAGTATAAGATAGGGCTATCAGGATTCCACTGCTGGAAGGGGATGAAGGTGGAGAAAGATGGAAATATAAGGAGAGATAATACAAGGACACTGGCTGAAAAAAAAGGGTTGGTGGACACGCGCCAGAGAGGAGAAAGACAGCATTCACAGACACATTTTGCATGAGGGTTAGTTGTATTTTTTTTTAAACTCCTCTTCGCCATAAGTAGAGGAGAGGGAGGAAAGAAAAAAGAGTGCGAGAGCTTTTTGGGAAGCCCCTCACACTAAATAATAAACGAGAGGATTTAAGCGAGTGGCTGGACCCGAGGACTGGCCAAGGGGGTGGTACATAAAAATACTTGAATCTGAGAAATTAGCGAGGTAACGGCCTGTCCTGGAGTTTGGATGGAAAAGGGAGGTAGAAAGGGAAAATTCGGCGCCAGTCGGGGCTAAAAACTACCCAGAGAACACACGGCCACCTAAAAGGGTTGAATTAATGTCGCGATAAATATATGATTTAAGGTGGAAACGTTTGCAACTCTGGGGCTAATTTTTTATCTCAGAACCACGTCCCTACCTTTTTTCCCTCTCATCTTTCTTCCTTCCGACGATTGAAAAAAAAAACAGCAAAGATTTATCTGTAATTAACGAAATATTTTGTCGAAGTAAATTATTCCCTTTTATTTATCAAACTGGATCCGAACCTGATTCAGGTTTGAATAGAGCGAGTAAAAATAATAGAGTGCATAAACTTTTGTAGTTGATAAAAAATATTCTATAAATTCGAGTTTATCCCTTGTGGACCCAATTCAATGTGCCGTGACGTGGTACAGTAGCTGGACATTCTGTGAAGCTATAAAGAAGTGTTTTACGAGTCACAAGATAATAGGATGAGGGATGCAGACGGGATCCAGTGATGCGTGAAGAAATAAGCGTAAAACCCGAGGTCTAACCTGAATGTCCAGCCCCTTTTACCCATCCTTCACCTATTTCGCATACGTATCTCACGAAGAGGCCCATATAATATATCAATTCCGTATTCTAATGTCCGGCGGTTAATCCGAAAAGTGCACACGATGCGGAAATGGTTGTGCGGTTTCAACCACTTCCTCCGATCTCCTCCCGCCATTCCGACTCGTGGAGAAGTAGCTTTGGAGAAGGTTTGGTG